AATTTTGCTTTGGACCTCTTGAAAAAGGAAGATATATTGCGAACTTTGTAACCTTTGCTTGGATTTGAGCAATGAATGATTGGAGTCAATGAATATCCAGGAAAGTTTAAGAAGACGTGTTCAGGAGAAGATGGATGTCCAGTTTTTGTAAATTAGATGCAAATGGGAGTTTTGCTTCCCTGTCCAACGGTCTGTAATCGGTCAGTTGGCATTTTCTAGTAAATAACTCCGCAGCGAAGGCCTTCTTCCTTTTTCGGGTAGCAGGATAGTCGAAACTCATCAAATCGATAGCTCAAGTCGTTGTCGCCACATTGTGGGATGTAACGTGCACAAAGTTCATCCCTTCAGGTGTCCAGAAACTGGCTTACCACATAACCACTTGGAACTTTTAGAGCGGATTGTCACACCAGAATGCCTGTCAGTTTCTCCGCACATCCTGAATTTTAAATATACCCGTATCTTTTCCAATTTGAATGCAAATTGTCTCCACGCCATTGGTACCTCCTGGAACTAGGTTTTGTCAGCTATCGAGTTTTATTAAAAAACTTGGACTAGTTGCTGAGAATAGTAAATTGTGTAACAAGTGAACAGCAAGTGTGTAGGAGTCTATGATGAGTAAAAATATTGTTTAGCCATGAACGTGAGAAAGTCTTTCGTGGATTCACACAACCATATACGTATAAATGCAAAAAAATCAATTCGGCTTGCTTAAATTTGGCGAGTGTTGACAAATCCTGCTACTGATATCTCTCACGAACCCTACGAACCAACTTATCCAAGCCTGGTATAGAGCTTGACTGATAGGCTCTCCAGACCGACCTACAAACTCGAGTGTTTCCATGTGCCTGGGCTATAGTGGACGATATGGAAGCCAACCATCCGCACACACCCATGTCTGCAGCGCACCAAAAACTTCTCGAATGCAATCGCTTGATAGGAATTTATCACTGCCTTGACAGGACCAACCGAACAGCCCAACCCGGTTGCAACAGGCTCATGTGAGAAATTTCCCATCATCGGTACTAATTCTGTCAAATCTAGAATGACCAAGAAAACTGAAAACGGTTGACTAATCCTCGTTTTCNAGAGCTTGGTAAAAACCGGTGACTTATTGCTGCGTCATATAAGAGTGATATTGGCTCCGATATCTAGATCCAGCATGGAATGGATTGGCACAGCAGCCATTCCATATAAAGCAGGAGCATCGGAGGTTATTCGAAGACTGCTGAACATAGCCAACAGTAGAGTGGCTTTCCAGGGGGGGGANTTTCCAGGGCGGGGGGAACGGTGCGTTCAGTCTTGGTGCATTTGAAAGGACTAGGGACTGTATGTATAAAATCAATTGCAAAGATTGAACTAAGGTTTACATTGGACAAACTGGCAGGGAATTGCACACCAGAATTGGAGAGCATAAAAGGAGGATAAACAAACCATCAGGAAATGCGGAAGAATACCAAACGCTGGTCAAAGACTCGGCGATGGCGGTACATGCCTTAGACAAGGGGCATAGAATAGATCTCGATATTGTAGAAGTTTTCAGACGGGGACTACGATTCACACCACAGCGGATGATAGCCGAAGCGGTAGAAATCACTAAGCGTCACAGTGTGAATAGAATTGAGGGTGTGGAACTGGCGAACGTGTGGAGAGTGGTCTTTGATAAACCGAGTTGACAAGTGACTGTGTGGTTGTCAATGCGCGTAGAATCATCAGCAAAAACGCCAGATCTTGCTGTCATTATCCGCTAGAATTTAATACGGTGTGTGCGTAAGAACGTCTGTATGGCTTGAGAGCAGTGTGCCAGGCTTGCCTCTGAGGCAGGCTTTGCCTGCCAAGTTTTGGAACTGAGATACATCTGCTTGCTACCCAGGCCTGAAACTGCACACTTTTCTGCTGAGTTTTGAAGGTATTCGTAGAGCACCAAATGTAGTCCATGTGTATCCTACAAGGCAGGCAATAATGGCCACACAAATGGGAGAATTCTCCTTTCTCAACTCGGATAGTTTTGCATGCCCGAAGGATTACAACAAATGAAGCCATTGAGCACCAAAGTCCACGTGTATCCTGCAAGGCAGGCAATAATGGCCACACAAATGGGAGAATTCTCCTTTCTCAACTCGGATAGTTTTGCATGCCCGAAGGATTACAACAAATGAAGCCATTGGATGGCAGACTATTTAAATTGAAACCAGTCCTTTAGCATTGACAGCAGATCCAAGCAGTGCTTCTGGAAAAGTAAAGTTGGGCCCCTGCGAAACACGCAGCTCTGTAGGATACAAAGTTTGTTGTAATCCATGGGAGTGAATAAGGGCGACCTTCAACTCGTCCCCCAGTTCAATCCAGGAATCCGCAGTCCGTGAGATGCCTCTACACTGGAAGATAGATTAATTAAGAAAGTTACTGAAGTATATCCATTTCACAACGAGCACTTCTTAGCTTCGTAGATCCAACTCTCGTTGTGACGTCTGAGGTACATCGTTACAATTGTCTACCATATCAATGCCACTCAGTGACCTATTCATACACACAAAACTAATAGAATTTCCTGAATGACAAAGAGAATTCTCGAAAGACCCCCTTAACCAATTCAATTTGGTTTTCACGAGAGACTCAAATGAATCCACTGCGATATCTCGAATATCGTTCCAACTGAAACCTGAGGCGGCCTGTGTGCAGCACATTAAGTTGTAGAATATCATAAACGAGAGATTCAGTTGAGTCTCTCGTGAAGACCAAATTGATTTGCAAATGAGTGTAGTTCTCGAAAACAGTGAAATTTGGATTCAAGTAGAACATAAGGTTGACGGAAACTCGGGGACTGCGCCCACCTGATGAGGCTCAAGAAGGACAAAACCGGTCGTGGCCTGTCGAAGAGTTTTCAACAACCTTGTGAGTAGCGTCCTTTATGAAAAAGCTTCTTAACCACTTAGCTAAACTAAGGTCACATAACACAAGCTTGTCACAAAAACGACGTATGCGTACCATGTGCCGGACAGAAGTAGTCCAAATGCCTTCGTATAAATTTATGCCACATCTCAAGAAAATCTGCCAATGCTTCGATGACGGCCGGCTGTGAAATCTTTAGCGTCACCTCAGCCTGATTGAGGAGGTTGACAAACTTTATTCGGTCATGCTGAGCACAACAATGGTAACCATTGGTTGACACTAACATGTTATCATCAGTACTTTTATCTATTAGAAGGTGAGGTTTCATGTGAATTTCATCCATGCAGAAAACCAAATACCCACGTACAGTTGCCTCTAGAGAGATCTTACTCATCCACCTTCTGTGTAGAAACGAACGGATAATATTTTGTGATTCACTTGTAACTACACAGCATGTTCCAACGCTCACCCTTGTCCACTCATTTCACGCTGCCCGGATTAGAGTTGGTCGGGTCTAATCCATAGATGTGGGAACAAATCACGTGTGAGATATGCCCTTTCTGAACGAACGCGTTACTTATACACCCAGGGACCAAATTACAGAATCACCCAGAGTTCATGCTATCACTTCAGCTGACCTGGAGGCGGGTGTCAATTCATGTAAAACAAAATCGCTCAGTTTTCCAGAATATTTCTTGGATTGACTGGCGGATCAACTCATTAAGCCGCCGTCAGTTAAACACTCATTTCACCTCACCATACTGAGTGTCTGAAAGACGCTTTGTGTCCATCGTTCTAACAGGATGAGGTGTGAATTCATCCGCTGCCTCATGCAGGTATCCAGTCTTCCTACCAACTCACGATATCAGGCGTCACTATTCGATGCTTCCAGGTCTAGATTTGGGCAGAGCATTTCAAACCGTTAAATGTTACACTAATCCCTTCATCCCAAGGACTCAAACTGATTTGCTGACGCAGGTATCATGTGTTTACCGTTCTCCCGCATCTGGTTCATTCATACAGAAGTTCTCCAGATCATCATTGATGATGTACATCTGATGTTGACTCTAGATTCAGACAAGTTGATACCAAAGCCAGCTGAGTCCGCCTAGTCCAAACAAATTGGAACGTCTGTCACGTGTGACCATTAACTGCACTGCCTCTAACTACTGCCGTAAATCAGAAAGGAGAATGGGATAGCTACCTTGTGTCACGTCATGTAGGACAAATGAACCGGCTAACGTGTGTTCGGGATGATAACTTGACCAAGAACCCTGAGTACACGAAAATACAGACTCTATTACCCAAAGCCGGATTTTTATACGTCCTGAAACGCGAATGCAAAGTAGCGAACAAAATATCGATTACCTAATTACATAAAGGACAAAAAATGGAACTGTGGAGGTTTCGAAGCGAAATGATCAATTTAAAATAATTAAGAACCCTGTGTGTATTATGATTCGGTTAGATAATTCCTGCATATCCACTTTCCACCGTTTGGTGTCTTTACATTACACAACAAAAATAGTTTTCTCGTGAGTAGGGAGAGTGCTGTCTGAAGTGACCTGCCGTTTGCTACTCTGTGTTGCACGGACGATGAAATACATATCTTGTAGGATGTATCAATCCGAAAACCTGTTACTAATGTACACCTCAATATTTTCTACCTTCATAACTGCCCAGGTAAGGAGCAACCTGTGTTTCGTGCTTAGTTTGCACTTTTTCTGACTGTATGTGTTTGGAACAGAACAGAGTCTACCTTAACTGCTACAGTCTCTTCTACTTGTGTGTATCTAAATAGGCTAGGCAATGTCAAGCCATCTGCTACATAGATGAGCTTACCTGGTCGAGTGTACCACGCCCACACGATCCGATGTGGAGCAGAGGAAAACACTATTCCTCCAATCCGGTCTGCTGTATCGACCTCAAGTCAAGTCCAGAAAATAAACTTGCGCGCGGAGCGAATAATAGTTGAAAATCAATAATAGATGGGGACAGACCAGAGGGCATAGGAGTTTCTCAAACCAGCCTAATCGTCGCTGATTTGATTGGTTGCTTATGTCAGCAGTTAAGGACTGCTGGCCCGTTACTATTATCCGCGCCGTGTGGAATTCAGGTGTTCAAATCGCCGTGTGAAGGAAGCTTTGTGGGATTTTTTTGCCAAAATCCATTGTCCATCTTGATAGAGAAAAAAACGCGGGGAATTTCCTCACCAACTGAATGGTATCCGTTACCAGTGCATTGATTTGAACTAGTGAGTGATACATCGCTCGGAAGATGAGGCAGGAGGCGCATTCTGTGCTGTAAGTTTCAACGTTTTGTATGTCATGAGTGTATTGTTTTGTACTGCATGAAAGTTTTGTGAGCTATTACCTGGCCACAATATCACTTAACTGAGGGTGTAGAATACTCCTCACTGGAGTAGTATTATTAGTGCGCTGTTGGTGATGGCCATAAATATGCACTAATAAAAGTTTTTAGTATGGTCGACAGTGGTGGGTTACAACACGTATAAAATAAATACAATGCCAAATGAGAGCAAGTCAAAAGAGAGAGATTTCCTTGGTGAACGTCTGGACGGTGGAAACGTGTTTTCCCCACAGTACGGCTGCTACACGTGTTCCAGAATTGTCCGAGGACTTGTGGAGAGTGGTTGACTTCCTGCTCCCTGCGCGCGCGCGAGTCTGTGTGTGCTGACTGTGTTCGGTTTCCCTGTATGTAGATCCGTTTGCGTGTACCTGGGTGTCAGCTACGCTCACTAGACGATACAGACAATCGATGTCCGATGAGTCACTCTAGTGTGACGTAGTTTGTGAGTGTGAAAAAAGACAGGTCTCGTGATTCAGTGAGCGAATGTGAGCTGAACAGTCAAGTATGTGGGTGACTGGGCAGCTACAGTATATATGTGTAAAGCATCATTAAACGCCAGTATTCATCACAATTTTATACGGTTGAAAAATGATTTCAAAAAGAGTGGTCGCTTGGTCAAAATGGGCATGACCCGTTTCCATCCGTTTTCATTCTGATGAAAGCCCATAAATGCAGACGTTACATGCCCACTAAGGACACGGGGTGGTGCGTCCAACTCGAACACGATAGGTGTTTGTCGTCACGGTAGTCAGTAGTCTGTGTGTGTACATGACGCAGTATTCCCTCGCATTATCGCGAGCTTAACGAGAATATGCATAGCCCGTATGCGCTAGTGAACATGGCCGAACAGAGCAATACCGCGCCCAGTGGCGAATTGCTTGATGCCCTCTTTGTCGGTTTCCTTACCATCCGGCTCGTTGCAACTCCTGAAAACGGGGGCCTTCCCACCTCTCCACACTGTAATGCCTCAATCACTACTCTGGAGATACTTAAACTGCACCAATACTTGGTTATATTTGTAATGCACTACTCATAAGGTTGCTGAAAATCCGTCGACAGCCCACGACCGGTTTCGCCCTTTTTGGGGCTCATCAGGTAGGCGCAGTCCCCGGGTTTCCGTCAACCTTATGTTCTACTTGAAACCAAATGGTACGAAATTAGTGAATATACACCCATTTGCAAACCAATTTGGTTTTTCGAGAGACTCACCTGGGACCCAGCTGAATCTCCCGTTTGTGATGTTTCCAGGCAACTGAATGTGCTGCACCTCATATTTCAGTCACTACGATATTCTGGATAGCGCGATACACGTATATATATATATATGTATATATATATATATTGCAATCGAAGTTCCGTGCTTGTTCCATTAAACAACAGCACCTGGCTCTCGACCATGCTTTCAGCGATTCAACTTTCGTTCGTTACCGGCGTCTTGGAGGTTAACCAGGGTGAAGGGCTCATCCCCAATATAGTTTATTCTTAGCCTCAGTAGAATCCGCCACCGTTGCGGACGATTACATGGAATTACCAGTCTGTGAACCAAATGCACGATTTATTTGGTATCGCTATAGCACGTCGTTTTTTCTTCAGGAGTTAATTAAGTCAGGGAGAAACGTAGGCTGGCGATGTTGTGGAATATAGGTGCAACGATGATACTACTGATGGAGAGGCATGCGATTAGTATGTGTTGTTCTTGGAAATTCGCTTTGCTTCTCTTGAACAGAGGAGATCTGTTGCGGACTTTGTGGAGTTGCCTTGAAGCATTTGCTTGGATTTGAGCGATGAATGATTGGAGTCAATGAATATCCAGGAAAGTTTAAGAAGACGCGTTCAGGAGAAGATGGATGTCCAGTTTTTGTGAATAAGATGCAAATAAGAGTTCCGTTTCCCTGTCCAACAGTCTGTAACCGGTCAGTTGGCCTTTTCTGATAAATAACTCCGTAGCGAAAGCCTTCTTCCTTTCATAGGTAGCTCAAATGTACTGCTTGGTTGTCCGTCTGCTCGCCGAGCTTGGCAGTTTGACTGCAAGCTCTCCAAAGTCATTCGAATTCGTATTAGTAGGATAAGGGCATTGCTTGGAATGATGAATGGATAGGCTGTTTTCTGCAAAAACGAACCGAAGACTTGTATGAATACATATTGTAAATTTCAATGAACATGGTCATTAGAATGTGACATGAAAGTAAGGATATAGAATATAGTATTAGTTTACCAACGTGATATGCTTTTGCACCTGATCATACGTCAGACATGTATATCCCAATTACTGACCTATCGATAATGATGACGTTGCTTTGTCTCTTTGGCGGCTTACTCATCAGCTGTAGCCCTCAAACTGTGTCACTGTTCTTCGCGACAATAAACGCTGTTCATGAACCTCACTGTGGTTCACTGCATCACTCTGAAGATCAGACAAGACAAGAACTGCGGTTTGAACACACAGTTTGGACGAGTACAATCAAACGCAGTTTTCAAGCGAATATGAGTGCGTTTATCTGCGGACCTAGTGAGGCTTTTGCCGCAGCAGAATCTGAACCCTTCGGCTTCCCAAACTTTCCCAATCTTAAGATCGTTCAGCTGTAGCACCCTTTCGGTGCCCAGCTGCCATGCCACCCGAGGGCTGGGATACTGCCAGGCTGTCCAAGCCCAGAGAGGGGAAGTTGAGAGGCAGAGGTAGGGTTAATCTTAAGAGAAATTCCAACTCTACGCTATCTACTCAAAATCACCGCGTGAACGCTGATCTCAACTCTCCAGTGATCTGAATTATATTCATACACTGCCCGCACATACCAAGGGACTACGAGTCTTCCGTTATCTATGCATACTCTGTAATCATTTGTACAATGCAGAAGGCGTAAACTGTACACTACTATGGAACTGGCGCAAATAAGTGTTTCATTTGGACGAATCGAAACGTGATAGCTTACGTGTGAGGATGTGTATTGCTAGAACAGGTAAGTTCCAGGTGCACGTACATCCGATGCTCAGAACATTGTACGCTTTTCTGTGGTAAAGCAAAGGAATTTCTCATCTAATCCTATGACTTAGGCTGGTAAAAGCATACGCAAGTGACTAAGATGGGAGAATCTGGAAACAAAGAGATTGGATTGCCTATCCACTTTGATTCAAGAGTCAGTTTTTCATGAAATGTTTGTGAGCAAGTTGCTAGAAATCGAGCATGTGGTTGACTGAATCTAGATGCTGGTTTTGTCCTTTAGTTGGGTCACTGTAAATTCACTTATGCCGGTTTGATTCCACTACAGTGTTGATTGACAGACAGTTGAATTTTAACCAGAGGAGCCTTTCAATTCTATTGCCCAAGGCAATGCAATTTTTTTCGGAAAGTTTGCAACGTTTCAATAAGAGATTGTTTGTCAGTTCCTAGGTAACCGTGCGCGTGTCTGAACTCCGGACAGTCAAAACGGAAGTTGTTGTTCCAGCTAGAAAGGGTTTAAATGTAAGTGATGGCGGAAGATATTTTGTTTCAATGCAAGCCACCAGTCCGTCCTGATATGAAGAATTGCAGCACTGAGGTGGACCCCGCAAGTTTCTCCTAGCAGCCTTTCTGTTCAGTGGATATTTCGTCAAAAATGGTCGTCCGGAGGTCAGAATACAAACATATCGCCACTAACTTGTAACCAAGCTTGTTTTATATTCTGGGGAAACTTATGAAGATGACGGAGCTTAATTGTAGCTTGCAATTTTAGGCAGGAATGTATTCATACACCAGTGGACCCAAATCCAGCTTCCTCGCTGCTTTTAGATTCGTTTCCACTGCCTAGATGTAAAATTCTTTGTGCAATACATAAGGAATATAAACACAGGTTCAACAGCATTATCATAAAAAAAGTTAAGCAAATTTAGAAAGCTAGACAATACTGAGGGACCCATTCTAGTACCAATGAAGTACTGAGGTGAATTGGAGCAACGAGCACAAAGCTGGCACCTGGTTCGGATTCACTCCCCTTCGGTTGATAGACAAGCTGTTTGGTCGCGTTTTATCGCACCGCAGCACTCATCAGACAAGTAGAAGAAAGACAACGGAAAAGTGCAATCAGAACCACCGAGGTCATTCCCCAGGCATGTGACAGATGCGCGATGTGGTGTTCAACAGAACCGGTGCCCTGCAAAGTCATATCTTATTTCACACAGAAGACGGTAGGCATATCCTTAAAATTAATCTATTACAAACCTAAAGGGAACATGCGGAACGTCTTCCGATAAGCGGCTCCGTGATCGATGTTGAAGTACGCAGTGAGAAGTAGGTTTAATCAATAAAGAAAATTTTAGTTTGGGTTATGACTAAAATGAAGCCTATTCATCATCGGTTGTGTATCTGATATGGCTCAGATTTTCGTCTACACTCGTTTTCTGAAGGTCAGGCGATAAACTCAACCCGTGACTCCGCCTTGGAAGCCACGCCAACCAAAATATTCGAAGCAAAAAACAGGGATCACCTACTTGGATACAAAAGAATGATTTCGGTTGTTCTTTGCAAGTGCCTCTCCAGTCCGTGAGTAAAACTACTCTATGATCAAATACTAAAAGGCTCTACAACCGTCCGGAGTAGTCAGCAGGTGGCACCTCACAAATGAACAAGGAGGTGTGAAATCGCACCCTTCTGACTAAGAGCTCAAAAACCGTGATTAACAGCATTTGTTGGAGAGGTCTTAAATCCCCTAACTTTCCACAGGATACAGAAGGGTCACTCAGCAAATTATCACATGACTCAAACGAAGTGATTGAAGAATGAATGAGGTTGTACCTGTTCTTCAAGGAAACTAATCACAAGGTTGCAGCCCACGACCAGTTTCGTCCTTCTTGGAGCTCATTAGTTAAGCACAGTCCCCGAGTTTCCGTCAACCATATGGTCTACATGAAACCAAATTGGACTGATTGCAACAAGTACACTCATTTGCAAATTATTTTG